GCGGGCGCCCAGCCCCAGCCCGGCTCCAGCCCGGCCCGCCGGGAGGCTGAGGCGGGCTCGGCGTCCCCTCCGCGGGGGATGCTCCTGCCGCCAGGGCGCTGCGAGGACAACGTCTCCGGGGAAGGAGCGGTCCTTGCCAGTCCTGGGCGGGGGGAGGGCTGGAGGAGGAGCCACCACTTTTCCCCTCGTTTTTCAGGTTTTCTTCAGTCCTTTTGTTTGGAAAAAACGGTTACCTTTTGTAATAGCGGATAATGTGAAAGCGTATTTAATCACCTCATCACCCAGTATTTCATTGACCGGAAAGTTCCTCCAATGTTAGTTTAACTGCCCAGGAGCATAACATACATGATAAAAGGACAGAAGCCAATAAATCTGTATTTATACAATCGCAACATGGTAACAGTCTTTACTGGTTCTTTTTGTTCTTGTTATTTTTTAAGTCGGTTGGAAACATGATTTCTCCTCCTCAAGGAAAATATTTTATTCCAGGTTTTTGCGGGTTTTTTGTTGTCGTTGTTTTGCGTTTAAATATTGATTCCGTTTAAATGTTAAATGCCTTAGGGTCCCAGGTGATGAGAAAAGATAGTTTCTGCCCTTGGGATTCCAAGTTTGTGGGTGAGAAAGGTAAGCATAGTACAGGATGTTATGGATACCTTCCTGGAACCAAGCAGGTGTACATGAATATGACAAAAGGAGATCTGATGGAGGAGAACAGGAAGCACAGGAAAGGCTCCATCCTCCTGTCCTGTTGTCTCCCCGACCTGTACGAGGATGCGCATGGAACCAGCCCCTACCTACAGGAGGACCATGGGAAATTCCACTGTAGGAGAAAAATCATTATAAAGGAGTGACTCAGCATAAGTATCCTCAGAGCTAAAGGAAACAGAACTGATATCACACGATGTGTTGAGGGCCCGGTCCGCTTTCCTGCTTCATTCCTTTGTCCTGGAGTCCATCTTTCTGCCATCCTTAGTGAAGGATATATCCTAACTGCTCCTGAATTCTGATGCCCTTACCCATGTAAGAAACTCAGTCCCCTAACCACCTATGCCCGCCTGTCTTATGTTACTTACTGCAAGCTTGTACTCCTGGCTGTGTGACATGCCAATAAATCCAGAATCAAGTTGTTGGGGCAAAGAACAGTGCCTTTATTCAGAAAGCCAACTCACCAAGAAGACAGTGGACCAATATCCCAAAGAACCATTGTACCAGAGTTAGAATTGAAGTTTCTTTTATACTAAAAGGGGGATGGGGTGCTGCGGTTGATTTTGCAAACCTCCTGGTGTTGGAATCTTTGTTCTTGAAGCTGTCCACTTAGCTCAGGTCATGATGTTCCTGTAAACCTCCAATAAGACAAATGTTATTCTCTGTTCTGCAACTTTGTATCTCTATGAATGGAAAAGTGTTACACCTTAATAATCAGAGCCTTGAGAATGGGCTAGCCTGTATATTTCAGGCTAGAGGCAGCATTCTTAACTTGTGGCAAAAGCAATGAAATACAAAGGTTAAAGTAAAAAAAAAAAAAAAAAAAAAAAAAAAAAGAACAGATCCAACAGGGAGTCAGAATCGCTCCTTCTTATTGCACTTAGGAGCCATCCCTCTCCCATCTCTGGGACTTTACCAGACAAAATAACCCACAGCAGGTGTTCCCCAAAGCCTGAGTTATTTAGACCATAACCCATGTAGGTCCGGCGGAAACCCCCACTGCTGGCTTTGCTATGTTAAGCCTGGTGACCTTTGATCTCTCTCTACCCCTTGTTGACTGAATAAAAATGCACACCCTAAAAGTGGAGAAATATGTTTTATTGGCAGCCTTCCTGAGGACTGCAACCTGGGATGGCAGCCTCTCAGATTGCTCTGAGGAACTATTTCAAAGGGGTAAGGGAAAAGCCAGGATATACAGGTGCTTTTGTTGAGAGAAAAAAACCCAAAAAACTGTCGTCAAATATCAAAAGATTATGCTAATCATACACACAACCCCCCCACCACTTGTAAGTTAATGGTTTTTGTGGCCTTTCTGTCTGGTGAACATGCCCCTTGACATTATCCTTTGATCTGCATCTTAACTACCTAAGGCCAGTGTCCTGTTTTTCTCCATGAATTCCCCCTCAGGGCGCAACGCTGGGGCGGAGGTCTTGAAGGTGGGCAACAAAGGTTGTTTACTGAGTGGCAGGCAGCATTATGTCCACAAACTGGTGTGAGGTTAAGATAGTTTTTCTCATTCTTCTTAAAATGTGGTGGATGGCCGTGGACAACTGTGGCCAGTACACAAACTTGTCTAAAAGACAACCAATATTTTCAAAGGCCAAAACATCTAAACCCAATTTAAGGAAATGGAATATTTTCCTAAACACTGTCTGATCTGCGAGTTCCTGCCTTCAGTGGAGATTTTACTTAGTTATTTTTTGAGAAGTGACAGTCTCTTTCTTCACTTTCCTGTGTCCAAGAGGCTTTTTATTGCAAGAAGGCATGTGGATCCATTCTGCTGCCCTGTCAAACCTCAGGACCATCTTCCTCTGGTGGCCATTCTTTAATAGTATGAAACGTTGGCCAATGCCTTGAAATTACAACTTTTAAATTATTTTAGGCCAAACCAAATTATTAGATAGGGACAGCATCCTCCCCAACTATTCTATGTAGGTGAGATGGGGCAGTACAAGTGTTACCAAAGGCAACTTCATGTGCCCACCGCACAGTGAGACCAAACAAACTGAAACATCAAAGTCGGGAGCAGAGAAAGGTTTATTGCAGGATTGAGCAAGGAGGATGGGGTGGGGGGCTCATGACCAAGAAAACCCCGAATTCCCTGAAGGGATTCAGCAAAGCATTTTTAAAAGCCAGCTGAGGGAGGGGGTGCTCCCAGGGTACATGATCAGCTCGTGCACAGTCCTCTGGCTGATGAGGGAACAGGGCGGTCAACACAATCAACCCCTAGGCGCCAGAAGGTCTGGGGGCCATGTGTCCTCAGTCATCCAGTAGTTCATTTCTTCCCTTTGGTGGTAGTTTTAAGCATCTGAAAACCTCAGGAAATATACATGAAATACTGTAACCTGGGTGCTCAGGGAGGAGCTACAGCAGAGAATATGGGAGAAGGGTCTGACTCTGGAAAGCCTCACAGGGTCCTGCTCGGTTACACAGGGATTAGCTATATGCCCACCCAAAACAAATTCCAGGAGGGGTGAGGACATTTAGCAATTGACCTCTCCTTTTTCCCAAAGGACTCTAACTGGGGAAAAGGCACCTCTGTGTTCACCCAGCTGAAACCTAAGGGCACCACTCAAGGTTGGAAACTCTTAGCAGCCCAGGGAGTGAGACTTCCTCCTCCAGGAGCAGGTTTCCTGAGAGCGTGAGCGGGGCTGTATGGCTAGGAGACTGCCAGGTGGCCTGCATGTTGGCAGGGGGCAGGTGAAGGAACACCTGTGGAGGACTCATGAAGGCCTGAGGCTTTGTTGGGTTTAATTTATTAAATATTTCTCTTTTATTATTTTTATTCTGCACATGTTTGTCATCTGACAGGCTTTAGACTGGCCCACGTTCTTCAGCCACCTAGTGAGTCCTCTGGTCCCCTCTGTGCTTGCCAGAGCCACCCAGGCTTCTGCCAAGAAGGACTTTCCTTCTGGGACGACGGGAAGTCCCAGCAGGCAGACCACCAAACTCCCTTTGTCTTGCACTGCAATTCCCGCTGAAATTTCCCTACACTTTGTCCATCCATCAGGGTCCCGATTGTTCGCATGCTGGGGAAGAAACAGGCTAGCCCAGGGGTGTAGGGGAGGGGTTTGCTTATGCCCTTTCTCTGCTGTTCTCAAAGGGACCTCCTACACTTTCCCAAAGGCCTGATCCTCCAAATTAGCTGGTGAACACTGTGGAGCTCAGCCCTGCACCCACTGCCCAGCCTGTGGCCCCCGCCCTGGGAAAGCCCTGGGTCAGGCCCTGGGACAGGCTGGGGTTTGGCTAGGATCTCACCCTTCACAGCCCTGTGGACGGCAGGTGGCAGTGGTTCCCCGCGATCCGGGATTTGGAGAAAGATCTCTCAGTTTGCCAACCAAGGAAGTGAGATAGAGTTGGGGGTCTGGAAGGAATCTGGGACCCCATTCCTACCCTCTGTGCCCCGACCCAGGCTAGGGAGGGGAAGGGAGGGATTAAGGGAAATTGAGAGAGGAAAAGAGAATGAAACAAGTGTTGAGTGTCCCAGATCCAGCTCTGAGGAGCTGTTACCCGCAGCGCAGCCCCGGAGCAAGCTCAGAGCCCTGCCTCTTTGTCCCGCAAGTCTTAGGAGTCTGCCCCGCCCTCTTTCCCCTCCCACCCCGCACACACCCTCGGGTAAGGCAGTCTTTGGGGAAGGTACCCTGGCAGTATTAACCAAAAGTTGTATACATTACGCATCTATAGCTTTTTGTATATCACTTATATCTCAATAAAGTGCGATTTTTTTTTAAAGCACCAAAATGT